GATCAGCTCATTTTCAGACAGGTTTTTATATAAATGGATCAGGACAAAAAGAGAGAGAATCTTTTTTCCTGAAACTGTCAGAGTCTCTTTCCACAGAGGGGACACATGTTGATGTAGAAGAGACATGAAGAAGAGGGGACACATGTTGATGTAGAGGAGACATGAAGAAGAGGGGACACATGTTGATGTAGAAGAGACATGAAGAAGAGGGGACACATGTTGATGTAGAAGAAACATGAAGAAGAGGGGACACATGTTGATGTAGAAGAGACATGAAGAAGAGGGGACACATGTTGATGTAGAAGAGACATGAAGAAGAGGGGACACATGTTGATGTAGAAGAGACATGAAGAAGTGGATTTTGCATAATAGGTGACCTTTAACATGTTTTCCACAGTAAGTCTAACCCCTGACCTTGTGTTCTCTCCAGACCAAACTGCTGAGATTCAGAGTCCAGGTGTCCATGGCAACACCGCTGTTAGTGACTCCACCCACCACCAACATGCAGTCGTGACTGGCTGCGTGGTTTCCAGAGCCGGACTCGTGATTGGTCAGCATGGCAGCGGCGTGGTGGTAGCGAGGACCGGGAGTCGAGCCTTCCTCCAATGAGCTGGTCAGCATTTGGGTCCAGCGGCGCTCCGACACAGAATATCTAAACATCAGGGAAAAAATGGAAACATGTAGACAATGCATGAGCTTTATACGTACAGGGTTGACAGCTTTTTAAGAGTACAATTCAAGAACTTCCAAGATACCATAACCCAAAAAGTCAAGAGTCTCTATGCCTTTATAATCAAAAATAGAATTAACTGAATAATTGCTCACCCACAGAGATGAATGTATAGTGACATGTTGTTTATCTTTTTTCAGGTTAACTTTGCTTAAAAGTAAACAAATCATGGTTTACAACAATATTGGTATCTGTTCAAAAACAATTTAAAGGAAGAAATGAACAAAAACAGATCCCAGCGGAGTATTAATTTACATGAAAAAATATCTCTATATTTACATTTAAAAGGTTAAATGCTCGTGCTCTGCATCTGGTGATGCAAGGAGACAACAACAACATTTGACAACAGTATTGTTTCATTTGAAATGCAAATGTTTTTTAGGTTCACATGAGTTATGGTGTAGCTGAAACACCAGATTCAGTTAAAAATCTAAAAATGTTCAAAGAGTATAATTGAATTCAAGCATATCACTACACTTGAAAACATAGTGGTAACAATTAAGCATTTTTCTAACTATTATTATCAAACCTAAAACACTTCTCAGACCAGTCTAAGGGTTACACAGACGTACCTGTAGACATTACCCAGAATGCCCTGTGTCAGAGAGAGTCCTCCGTACATCCAGAGGTTTCCCTGCGGTCCGGACACCAGAGAGTGACCCATCCTGTGCAGGAACCTGTGGGCCTGGTTCTGTGGAGCAACGGGAAACATTAACGTGTGTTTGTGTGTACTATTAAAGAACCAGCAGATTGAAAAAGATATTAGTTTGAATGTTTACCACTGTTAGTTGTGTGTCCAGCAGGGTTTCCCACAGCAGGCTTATGGAGTCTCGGAGGACAGAGCAATCGGATCCAGCCCAGTTCTCTGAGCACACACACACTCCCAGAGACTGACACACACACACAATACTTTTGTTAGCAATCAAGGAAAATGTGTAACAGGACTATCGTTACCAAGAAACTTCCTTTTACAGCTGTCTCTTTATAGCTGGAGATGAATGATATTCATTTTATTATATTTTACATGTACATTGTTTATTTATTCCCACATTTTACTTGCAGCATAGTATCACTTGCATTATTGTTGTTTATGTAAGTATATTGTATGTTACACTGTTGGTTGGGCCTGGGACTTGGTAGTTAATGTACTTTGACCAATTATTCATAAACATTTAATCAAAATGGCTGTCATTTGATGGTTTGATTCTACCAACAGTTTTTTTATTTACTAAGCTATTGTGCATGAAAATAAAACCTTAAAATGTAATCTTGAATCTTATGAAAACATCACAACAAATAAAATGGCAAAGAGTATAAGCTTCATTTTATTGTTTTTTAACTCGAAAACCATTACATTCTCAGAACTGAATAATCCCT